CCCTGACGCACAGCAGCAAAAGGAAACAGCCCAAGCACGTTGCCATGTGGTGCTCCAGCTAGTCTCTCTCAAGGGGGTTGTGCAATGTTATGCGCAGCCCTTTCTTGCGGGTTGCGATCACCTGCTCACAGGCTCAGGAGGTCCTTGAAAAGGCGAAGACCTTCGAGAAGACACCAATGGTGGACTCGGCATCCTGGCATTTATCCCCGGACGAGAGTTTTGTGGATGTGTTTCTTCTCAGAACTCCATCAGCTGCGTGAGCCGACTGTTTGCAAGGAACTTGGATGATTGTGCTTGAGCACTTGAATGGTTCACTACTCGGTTGAACTGATGATTCCCCATGGTTAGCACTTTTGAGGTCATTGAAGTGACCAAGACAATCATGGGGAACCCCTGGCTGAACAGGCTAAACCTGCCTTCAATGACAGATGTGGGACTCCCAGCTATGTTGGGGAGCGCCTATTTTGTGTTTGTTTTTTTTCTCTCTCTCTCTCTCTCTCGCTGTCTCTATCTCTCTATCTCTCTATCCATCCATCCATCCATCCATCCATCGATCGATCGATCGATCGATCGATCTCTCTGTCTGTCTGTCTGTCTGTCTGTCTGTCTATCTATCTATCTATCTGTCTATCATTATCTATCTATCATTATCTATCTGTCTTTCTTTCTTTCTATCTATCTGTGCCGCACCGCACGATTTTGAATACCATGATCGAATCACGTTGCAACATCTCTTGGGGTCTTTTGGGGGGACGAACGTCTATGGAGGTGCAAACTGTTTTAGTGCAAACTACAGGAACCAGGGTCGCAAGGGACTTTCTCCGAGCTCAACTGATAACCGAGGCCAGCCAAACCACACAAAGCGCGATGGCCAAGAAGACAAACAAGATGGATGAAGGTGCCCTCTCGCAGGAAGTCCGTCAACCACAGTCCAAAGTTTCTAGTTTTCACGAAGTCATTTGTGAGCCTGGAATGTTATGAACATGGATGAAGGTTCAGGTTCAGGAACTTGGGAATGGACTTGAACGGACTCCGGTGCTGAACGGACTCCGGTGCAACGGACCTCCGTTCCGGCTTCAGCACAGGTGAAGTGTCGCCGCGCTGGGAGCCTTTGAAAGCGCCTGAGCCAGCAGATCCACCATTGGAAGAGATCCAAATCCATCAGGTCCGAGAAAAGACCCCGGAGGCGGTCACTCCGGTCACCCCGGTGACGCCCAAGGAGCCTGGGACGGCAAGGAAAACGAGTGGCGGGTCAGGCGAGGGTGTGAAATAGCACAGCCGAAGATAGTCCAAAGCCACCTGATCAGGGCAACGGCGCAGTTGCAGGCTAATTACTGTATGTTAGTGTTTCTTGGGGTATGTTGGGGTGTAGGAATATACCATTAAGTTACATACAGTCCATGAGAGAGCTGGGTCAAAACATGTTTTAACCGACAACGACGACGGCGGCCGCGGCGATGACACCACGACTAACTAGTTACTGGTCCACTGTTGGGAGGATGAACATCCATAATTACTGCAATAACTTGAGTAATAACCTGGTATTTTGCTCTGCTGTGAGCTGTGCGAGCTTCAAAAGCTCGCACAGCTCAAACGGAGACGTCCAAGACTCATAGAATTTCCTAGAAGAAGGGAAGAAGGGGTGACAAGAGAAGACGTGAACCTCTTGATGCTTCGCCATCATTGGCAAAAGGTCCCGCTGGAGTCCCCCCGGCATCGAGGCGGTGTTTGATTTGTTTGGTTCTCGTCAGCTGAGAACCAGCTGTTTGAGTGGCTGAAGGGCAGAGACCACAGGTGGACCTTGGATGTAAAATATCAAGAACCCAAAAGTAGAGGACAGAGGGAATCACCCAGCCCATGCCAGAACCCTGATCACTCAATATTTGCCCATGCCTACATACGACTGCATGCTGCCAAAGAAACAAAGCAAGTACCGAGCTGGACTGCAGACAGTGACAGTTTATGACTTGACGCATGCCGCCAGTACAAAGCGTCCTTATTGTAACTTACGTCCGCATGTGCTACTACTCGTTGGTCGTTGGGTAACCAAGCGTCCTGTCGCGGAGAACCTGTGCGGAATCTCACGTCCAAGGTCGTGGCAGTGTCCTGTGACCCAGAGCCGGCAGAGCCTGTTCAAAGTCCTTTGCCTCCGCCACCACCCGTGCAGGTCCTTGGCAGAAAGAGGTTCCCTTTCCCCTTTTCGGGAGTGTCCCACCCAGAAGAATCCAAAGCAAGATGGTCGCAGTTCCATTGTCATCACGTTGGGGCCACCAGTCCACCAAGGTCCAACCAGCGCCGATCCTTCCCAAAGGGCCTCGCACCATCCCCAAAGCCAAGCGCCCATCGCCTTCTACCGTGGCTGCCGCACCGAGCGCGGAAGCGCCGCGCCTTCCACCGAGCGCCCCGCCGGCGCCCACGTCGCCGGTGTCGCCGGCGCCGCCCACGACGCCCGCCGGGGCGTCGCTGGTGGCGCGGTCGGTGAGGTCGGCGCCCCGACCGCCGCCGCCCAAGGCGGCGCCCGTGGGCAGGGCACCTGCAGTTGCGAAGGCGACCGGGTGTAGTGTGTGTGTGTGTGTGGGTTGCGGTGGGTTGGGTGGAAAGAAGTGGAAGAGAAAAAGCAGGTATGTTTAAAACATAAAGAATTAGATAGAATTAGTAGAAGATAGTAGAACCATTACAACTATAAAACAACAACTATACTTGAGCGGGTGGTATTAGTAAGAGCGGCCCCCGACGCTCAGCAATGCGGTGCGGTGGGCTCACTGAGATGGCGATGGAAAGAGAGAGAAAGAGAGTCGAATCTGAAAAGTAAGAAGTGATTCCAAGTTGGACATTCACCTGCACTCTGCAGGCGCCTTCCAGAAGCGACCGAGTGCCATTGAACCAGGCCGCATTGGCCACTGAGCTCATCATGGCCGCAAGTTCGTAGGCCTCAAGCAATGCTCCAGTATGCTGTAAGAGGTTTGGGATGGGTATATATATATATATATATATGGGCATGCTTCCGGACCACTCCGTGGATTTTTCCTTCGACTCAATGGCTGCCGCATACCAAGATATACAGAGCTGGCCTTGGACTCCAAACATCACATACCCCGTCCTGACTACTCATGTTTTCTGATTATGACTTGGCAACCAGAAGTAGCACAGTTCGCAGCTTTCACCCAGCCCTGTACTGTTACAGCAGTTTTCTTTGCCTTGTGACTTGTGACCAGCGTTTTTTTTGTGTGTGTCATTTGGTTATACTGTACTATTCCTTTGAATCTCGTTCCCTCCTTTGGCTGAGGCCAGAGAGACCACATCAGACACTGAACCAGAGGAGACGGAGGAGGAAGACTCTGACGACGAGCAGTGAGGGAGATTTGTTGAAATTGGCACCTCCGCCATTGCCGCCATCGCCGCGCCTGTCAGCGCTGGCCCGGCTCCAGCCGCGTGCGAAGCACTCGCTGCTTTTTTGAGGCTGGGCCAGTGCTGTGCGGTGCCTGAGCTCCGTACTGAGCTCCAGACCGCTTGTAGATTTGGAGCAAGAGTTGACCTCTTAGGCCAGAAGTTGTATAGGTACTTAGAGGTCATGATGCTTGGTGGCCCCAATTGTGAATGATAAGCAGCCAAGCAAGTGGGCGGTTGCCACGGTTCAACATAGAGGCCTTAAACCAAGGTTCTACGAGAACATTTCAAGATCCCAGACCTGGTGGACCGGTGGACCAAGTGGTTTCCTTGTGCAATTGTTTCATAGGTCTTAAGAAATGGAAAGAAGAGGATCATGCGCTGTTTGAAGCTGAGTGCAATGTCATTTGGGGACCGGTCGAGGGGGGTGTCATTTTCAATGTTGGTCAAACAAGTCTTGCGAACCTTAGCTGCATGGGACATGATGAAATACTGTACATGAAACCCACAGATCTCATCCTTCTCTTCTCTCCACATCCATGGGGGGCCTACCTTGCTTTGACGGGGCTTTCCCGGCGCGGCCGGGAGTCGTGTTTGAAGACGTTCCAAGTGCTCAGCCCCTGAGGGTCACGATCCTCGCGATGCACAAGCTGGGCAGTCATTTACACTTAGGATCACAAGGGTGTGGCTCAACAAAACATCCGCTACTTCAGAAAATCTACCTTTCTCCCTGCCAGAAGGATTGCCCAAGGATGAGGAGGACTTCCACCAGCTGGGAGGTAATATGTTGCTTCTGACTGAGGCTTTGTATCCTTCACATAGTTTATGGGCACCAGTGTGATTCAACCAAGAGCCATCACTCAATTGGCACATGCCGAAAGTGCCTTGCGAAGAGTGTCAATTTTCAGCTTGGGACTTTGTGCCTTGCCGGACTCTTGGCATCGCTTGTTGCTGGGCCGCCCTGGGCCAATATCGAATACTGTACCATAGAATATGCTCTCTGAAAAAATCACATGGAAGTGCACAATTGCCCTTGGAAGACCATTTTCCTTTACAAACAGGTGGTTGTCCACTTCCATGATTGTTTCAGGGAGGGTCTCCGATTGTTTCGCTCACAGGGACGATAAGATGAGCCGCCATGTATTTAACAGGATCTGGTGGATCGAAGCACAAAATCCCGGATCGACACTGGACACTTGCTTAGTGCGAAGACACTTGGGAGACCAAGAGCTGCCAGCGGCAGTGCCAAAAGATGAGGACCGCAAAACATATACGATTCACTGACTTGGTGGTCCCCAACATCATGAGCCAATTTGAACTTGGAGCTAGGACTGGGCCATATTGAGCAAAAACTATACACTAAATCTTACTGGGTGCCGGGGCGGGATGATGCGGGATGATACAATTTCATGATTCAGCAAGTGTTCACGATGTTCAAGTAATTTTATTTCCACTGTTCTTTTACTATCAGGTGTTCAAGGTGCACAAATAAAGTAACTTCGAGAAATCCTACTTGGATGAGGCACTGTTGCCGGGAACGCGCATTCTCAGCCAACCAACGCCTGCCTCAACATCATTTCATTCCCCTGATCAACATTCAGAAGCACACAATCCAACTCTGACCCTGCAACCCTCCGATGGGCCATGTTGTGGGTGAAGACTCTCCATGCAGTGGCTCAGCATATTGGAAGTCCGGATTTGGGCCGTCCGCGATGTTGCGAAGTGGACTGGGCACGGGTTCGGTTGTCCTCTGAAAGGTATCTCAGTCATTGTTGAAGCAGTGGGTCTCACATATCTAAAACAGACGACTAAGCCGAGCTGGGACGTTTCGTTGGGATGTGGGAAGGCCCCGTGACAGAGCGGTAGGGAACACTTTGCCGCAGGACATGTCTCGATAAGTTCTTTTTCCCCAAACAGTTTACTGTTGGGGTTCTATCTTAGAAAGAAAAGAGCTGGCCACACTCACTGGCCGCGCCCCTGAACTCCGTGGCTGGGCTCCGTGGCTGGGCTCTATGGCTGGGCCTTGTCCTCCTCTTGTCCTCCTCTTGGCCGCGCCCCTGAAGTCTGTCAACTCTGTGGCTGGGCTCCGTGGCTGGGGTCTGTGGCTGGGCCTTGTCCTCCTCTTGTCCTCCTCTTGGCCGCGCCCCTGAACTCTGTCAACTCTGTGGCTGGGCTCTGTGACTGGGCCTTGTCCTCCTGTCCTCCTCTTGGCCGCGCCCCTGAACTCTGTCAACTCTGTGGCTGGGCTCTGT